ACGGTTTGCGCACGCTTTCTTTTGTGATGGGACTGCACATGCACGCTCGCAATTTAAGGTCAAGCGTGATGAAGAAGGCGGGCTTGCTCACGGATGCGGAGGAGTCGTCCGCAGGCAACGGCAAGAAGGGAAAAGGTCGCGGCAAGGGCAAGAGCAAGGGCCTGAAGAATACCACCGTGCCGCTGAAGCTTCGCCGCCCGAGAAAGCCCAAGGCGACACCAAAGGGCAAGAAAGGGCAGGGCGAGGAGCAGGAGGACGAGGGGGGAGCGGAGAGCAGTGGCCAGAAGCGCAAGGGCAAGACCGGCAAGGGTGCCGCTTCCAAGAAGGTTGCTACCAAGGAGACCCTCTTGAAAAAGATCGCCCAGATGGAAGGAATTGAGGAGTCCGGAGCCGCGCCCGGCATCCTGTGCGTTGACGAGGAGGAGAGCGAGGACAGCCAGGACAAGTGAGGAGATTTTTTGCGGATCCAGATGCAGTAGCATTTCCACTTAATCGTCCACAGTGTGTTGACTGAAGGACCTGTACAGTCGTATCGGCTCGCGTCGCTTCCGTGCGCGTAGTGTCATTGCACGCAAGAGTCGTGAGTCAGACCACCCAGCTACATTTCGGTGTCTTCTCTCAGGGAGCGACCTGGGCATGATGCTCATTCACGGAACTGCAGGGGCTGCCGACGTGGATCCAGCCGTGACAAATGTGCAATGCACATCTGACACCCTCCTCAATGTATTCTAGAGTCTTGTCCGCTTCAAGGACTGCCCTGTGCCAGGGACCATTGAGAAATTGCTGAGCAGACAGAAACTGTGGCGGTCAGTCTACGCGGGATGATTGAGTGTGTCATGTGACAGTGCATGCGCCAACGCCTGAATAAATCGACTGTCTGTCTGTCTGTCTGTCTGTAAGTGCTCGAGTGAGAGTGAGAGTGAGGGGCTTAATTATATTTCTGTCAGCCATGCCCCTCAAAGTGCGGAAGGACCTCATGCAGAAGCGTCGGGGCAACAGTGCGGTGTCAGGAACGGAAGCGACCTGGAAGATCTGCTCCGTCATCCCGCTGAAGCCCGATGGCTTCACACTGGGTAGTGCTTGCAGCGGTCTGTGCGCTGAAGTCTTTGCGTGTGCGTTGCTCGGGGCAAGCTATGTTCCACTGCTGGGCTGTGACATCGACGCGGCATCCAAGCGGCTATGCCAGCAGACGCACAAGCACGCGTACTGGTACAATGACGTTGCGGGCTCCGATTTCCAGGCCAGCCCTTACTGTGACGTTTTCGTTGCAGGCTGGCCATGCCAGCCCTTCAGCCGAGCCGGCAGCAATCAGGGGGAGGACGATGCCCATGGACGTGGAGGAGTCTTGAAACACATCATCAGGTGGCTGGGCAGCCACATGCCCAAAGTCTTCCTCCTGGAGAACGTGGATAACATGACTACCAGACATCAGGAGTACTTTCTTGAAGTGCTGCAGGAGCTGCTAGGAATCCAGCACAAAGGTGTGCCAGCCTACCAAATCAGCTGGAAGGTTCGCAATGCCAGGATCCACGGAGGCTTGCCGCAGAACAGAGCTCGTACGTTCATCTGCGGGATTCGAGCAGATGTGGCCCGTGGTCCCATGCAATGGCCTGCGGAGGCCGAGCAACTGTTGTTCTGGGTCTTGTAGAACGTGTCGTTATGGCTTTGGTGGGGTGATCAGCTGTGGAAGTGGGTTCGTTATGTCCATGTAGATAAGGAGCACAGAACATGAATGCCTTCGAGTGTTTGTTCTGCATTGCTGTCTGCCCAACAGATCCCCATGCTGCCCATCACGGACTTCATAGCCGGCGGAAGCAGTCCCAGGCGGTGGCCTGGAGCAATGCCCACGACAATGACCGGCCAACGCAACCTGCTAGCTGTCCTGCAGAAGCTTCAATGTGCAGGCCATGACCCGCTGGCAGAACCTTTCGTGGTAGACGTGCGCGGCTCGTGGCCGCACTTCAACTACAACTACAGCCCATGCCTGACCAGAAGCCGCGCTGGCAGTGGAGGCCATTGGCTGACCTGGAAACAGCGAATGATGACTCCGGCAGAGGTGTGCATTCTCATGGGGTTGCGTCTGACTGATCTCAAGCATGACCTCTCGGATCGGCAGCTCTTGTCGCTCGTGGGCAATTCTATTCCTACAACTTTGTTGGCACGAGTCTTGCGCGGTGCATTAAAGACAGCGGGTCTTCACCGCTGACAGGCTATGTGCTCAGACTTCCAGGGTAGAAATTGACAGTGACTGTCAGATTTCTGTCCTGCCCGCAAAAGATTACATAGGCCACGGTGAGTCACAGTCCACCGGGTTCGAAGTCAGCTGCCTAGGGATGTGGCAGGCGAGGCGGAGAAAGAAAAAGCAGCCCTAGTCGAGCTCTCACTGTACACGCATCTAGGCTTTCCCCAGGCAAAGCCTCCGATCTGCTGCACGTAACACAGGGGCCACAGATTCTGCGGACTTTTCCACATACCCTTTGTAGACCCTGTAGGACTCGATTTGAGCAAACGCCATCGTTGCATCTGCTGAGACTTCGGCACCAGCCAGGGTAGAAATGCAGTGACGTCGTCCTGAGTGGGAGCGAATCGTGTTGCCGTCTAGCAAGTCCGGGTATTTGTTCTTGAAGTGTGCTAGGAATCCTTTCCGGTGTTGCCTGATGACAGCGGCGACCGTGTCTTTGGTGACATGACGGGTCTTGGTCTTGCAGGTGGAGCGGGCCGGGAACAGAAGCCCTCTGGCCGGCCACTTGAACGTACCTTTCTGTGACTTCACTCCATGCTTCCGCATCTGTCGTAGCGCTTTCAGAACAGAGGGCATCAGAGGTTTGTAGATGCCGACATGTTTCTTGAAAGCTGCGATCCACACCCTCTTCTTCTTCAGGTTGAAGTGCTGCGATTCGAGTCGTCCCGCCTGCGTGATACGGAGGCAGAGTGCGGAAGTGAGGAAGAGAAGCATGTAGTACTTGGCGCCTGCGTGTTCCCGGATGTAATTCAGCCAGTCCGACCACCTCTCTCCGAGTAAGGCATTCGCGCGGCCAAACTTCCGCTTCGCAGGCATGGCAAGGGTGCTGCAAGGGATACTTTGCAAGGTCGAGTGGGGATGCCTCGTATGTGCTCTCAGCCATAAGAGGACACGCGTGCATGGCAGGTCTATTATAATTTGCGTCTGTATGGTAAGGATCGTTAAATGTGCCTCATGATGCCGTCAGGGGAGGCCGCCCTCGGGCGATCCGGGGAGGCCGCCTTTGGGCGCCAAAAGGCGGCATGTGTTTGAGGGTTTTCAGTCTTTCCCGCATTGGCTCGGTTTTGGGCTTGGGGTTCAGGTTTGGTTTTACTCTTTGGTTTTGAATGTGTTTGAGGGTTTTCAGTCTTGAGTGACAGCGTGTGTTGTGCAGCCTACATAAGCTCCGCACTGAAAGCCTGCAACCTCCTTAGGTCCTAGTCGTGTATGCAATCCTACAAGCACTGTCTCGACAACTTAGCCTATGTCGAGGCAAGACCTTGGACGCGCACCTTTCGCGGCGACTGCTGCTCAGATGATGCCGGAACCTTGGCAGTTGAGCGTCGAGTGAGCACGCCACGGGCTTGTCCGCCGGTTTCGGAACCGGCCACTTCCGAGGTCTGGTTTCCCCTCTGCTTTCCGGCCTCCGTCGGCGGGCGCCCCAAGGGTCCGGCGCATTCAGAAACCTGGTGAGCTGTCGAGAATAAGCGGTTGGTCCAGCCACTCGCTTAGTGCATGCGTGCTGGAACTGTCTTCGGAAACAATGTATCGGAATCCCGAAGCACGACTGCTCCAAGTTTTCCCCCACAGAGTGCACACTGCCTCAAGGTGGAAGTCGCAGCTCGCGGGGTCTTCGCCTCAGAGTCAGCTTCTGTGAACATGTTCCTCTGCGCTCCCTGAACAGCAGTCTGCAAGAGAGTTGGAGCTTCGATTGCGGGTGGATCAAGCAGGCACAAGTGTCATGGGCACGAGCAAGTCGGCGCACACATGCATGCAGGACACGTGCACACATGCAGCGCAGCAGCACACACATGCACGCATGCAGGACACATGCACGTACACAGCACAGCTGTAGCACCAACACCTCAGTCAGGGGACCATGGCGGACTGGAGCTGGGATGGTTCGTGGTGGGACAGCCACGGGAGTTCCTGGGGGTGGACAGAGGACAGCCACCAGAGTTCTGGGAGGACAGACTCAGCCTCTGGCTCACAGGGCAGCAAAGGGAGAGGCGGCAAAGGAAAAGGGAAGAAGGGCAACCCCAAGAAGAAGGCCAAGGCAGCCCCTGCCCCTGCACCGCCTCGTCCGGAGGCCGACGCAGAGGCGTCAGAGGAGGCAGGCGCCTCCCGCAGACGCCGGGAGGAGTGGAGGCGCCCCCTGCGTGAAGACAATGCGGAGCTGAAAGCGGAGTACACCGCGGCGCGGACGGAGCTTCGCATGGAGTCGTCGCAGAATGAGTCCGCGCGTGCCGAGTACTTGCAAGTGTCCGAGGACAAAGCGGAGCTGCGAACTCTTCTCCGGATACAGGAAAACCTGGCGCAGGCGAACTTCGCGCGGACACAGGTGCTCGCCACGGAGCTCGACGAGCAGGGGACGCAGCTGCAGGACTCGGCGCCCAGGGCCGAGTACAACGACCTGGAGCAGCAGGAGGCAGGGGCCTGGAACCGAACTTGTTTGCCATCCTAATCCTTTGTTGGACGCATGAAGTCCCGGACAGGCCGACTGCATGGAGCGGATCCAAAAGCTTGCGAGCAAGCTGGAGCACGAGGAGGCAGTTAGTTAAGTCTATCAACATCCACCTTTGAGATACATGTGAGATCCCGGACAGGAGGAGGCAGGCACTTAGGTCTATCGACATCCACCCTTTATGTGAGATCCCGGACAGGCCGAGTGCACCGACAGGGTCGAGAAGCTTACGAACAAGGTGAAACACGAGGAGGCAGGCAGTGAGGGTTGAGCAACATGCAGGGTTGTAGAAAATCCTATCCGGGACAGGCCGAGGTCACGGAGCACTTAGGCCGAGGGCGGCACTGGTACAGGAAGTATGAGCTTCTGGAGAAGATCAAGGCCGGAGTCGAACCACCGTCAGATTCATGCATCGGTCTCCAGACATCAGGAGGACGCGGTGGTTGAGCTCAAGTCCGAGCTGAAGTTTGCCAGAATGTCAGAGGACTTCCAACACCAGTTGTTTTTCCGTTTTCTGACTGTGCCACCTCAGGAGCGGGCCGTTCACAAGGCCATGGACTTCAATGAACAACAGGCACAGCTGACCGACAAGCCGGGCCCACAGGACCTACTAACTAGGAAGGGCTTATTAGGGCACCGCAAGCTCAGGCTCGACAAGACCAACTTGGTCGTTGCCGCGCAGGATCGCGACATAGTCAGGAAGCGCCAGGAGGCCGAGGTGATGTGAGCACGAGTGAGGAGCTGTATGCTCCTTCTCAATTTCGGTCAGGTGCGGGATTTGCGGCAGCAGCTCGAGATCGCGGAGGTCGGATGTGGTAGACTGCCCCGTGTATGTATGCGCATACTCCTGTTGCTGAAAGGCTACAAACCTGCTGCAGTCTGCAGAATCAGAGCAGGAAGCTGCAGAGGTCAGCAGCAAGTTCCATCATCGAATCTAATCTCAGAGAAACCACTGAATTGCCTCCGCAGGCAAGAGGCCTACGAGAGCAAGAGCTGGAGAAGTCCTCCGAGGCCCTCCGGTGTCAATTTTCTGGGGAAAGAGATCGAAGTAATTGCATCTTGGTAGGATCGTGCTGCGAGGTCAGGAACACATTCTTATCTATATCAGATATTTCCTCCGGTCAGGTGCAACGGTTGCGGCAGCAGCTGGAAGCTGCACAGGTCGCTCGCAGGGGCAAGGGGTGGAGCTGTGTGAGACCAATGCCAGAGGCACGCGGAGCTTCTTTTGAAAACATGACGAGGCATCAATCCTCGATCTGACAAGCGTTCAGGCACGAGTGCAGCACCGTTTCGGGTTCAAGCGGTTTAGGGTTAGTACCCTACCATTACGATGACGTTGCGAGGACCACCTGGGCCTCGAGCTCCGGTCTGCGCGCACCGAAGAGGCACTTTCATGTTTGAAGAGAACATCCAAGCCGCCTAACCCTTTCTAGCTCGGAAGGAGTCCCTCCAAGAGCAGCGCGAGATCCAGAATATCGTGGTGAACGAATGCTGCAGCGAGATCGTCGACCTCCGTCGCAGGGAGGCCAGATCACAATGTACAGGATTTAAGAATGAGCCCGAGCCAGCCTGGTTCCAGGCAGAGCTGATCGCAGCTGCAGCAGCACAGGCGCCTGGCCGGACAGAGAAGTGAGCAACCCTGTCAATGACCATCTGACAGGATGCCACGACTACTCGGACACAGAGCCCCTCACAGGCAGGGGTTCTCTCGATTGCCTCTTTCTGTGTGTGTGTGTGTGTGTGCGTGTGCACAAACTGTCACAAACTCCTGCGAGCATGTGTGGACGGCCAGGTTGGCATGGTAGCTGCATCCGGGCCTGAGGCCAGAGCCAGACCTCACGCGAAGTATGGCGCAGTCCTTCAGATCCATTGTCACACTCACGTTCACCCCCACAGCCAGGGAAGCATGTTGAGCATCAGACTTACCTGCTGCAGGATCCGACGAGCCCCGCTGACCCTCCTGAGGCAGGACTCTCAGCAGAACCATACTTTCGACAAGGAACCTGGCACTACAACGCATGTGGAGTAGCAAAAATGCAATCTTTGACAGGTTCCCACAGAAGTCCCTTCTCCTGAGCCTGCAGCCTAAGGCAAGGCACCGGATTGACTTACCTCAACAATGCTCACACTGGTGATCCAAGTCTGCTGCGAAGGAGGCCGCTGTTCGTCGTCTGGAGGAGTCTTCCTGCCTGCCAGCATTCAAAAAAAATCGGCGCGCAGTTTGGTGGCTGTGTCGTTCAACAAAACAAGCTTTCTTCAGCACTGTGGATCTATGGTCCCAGGTGCGGGAAGGCGTTGCAGAACACGGAGCAGGCAAGGTCGATTGATTGCTGTTCGAAGCGCGGTGGGAAGTCATATATCTATCCGAGAGTGCACTTGCCGTCTAGACATAGGATCCTGCATGTGCTGCTCGCATAGTGAGGTTCACAGGCTCGATAGGTCCAGCGCTGCGATAGTGCTTGGATTCTACGACACCTGCAGATGCAACACTAAGTATGCCTCGAATAGCAGTAGTATGTCCGTTTTTGTTGCATGGTACACTATTCTAGCGGTGTTTGCCGGATATCGAGACCATTGGGTGCGTCACTGTGCTAGAATATGCTGACTTCCCACGGAGCCTCCATAGCAAAGCTAGAACGCCGTCGGCCCAAACTTGAAAGAGCCTGATGCTGTGACACTGGGGCACGCGCCTCTTGAACCATAGGGCCCTGAAAGTGCAGCACAAACACCATCGCGGTACTTGTGTCGCATGCAGATCTAGTGTAGATATCTAGTGCAATGGGTCTTGCACCTGCCCTGGTGGGGGCCTTGCCATATGCCAGGGAGACACCATCGCGGCGTTCCCCAGCATTCCGTAAAAGGGGACACACTATCGCAGTGTGCCCCCTGCCCTGTGAGGGATTTTTTTGTTTCGGCCAGGGAGACACCATCGCGGCGTTCCCGGCACTTCCTAGAGAGGGTGCACACTATCGCAGTGTGCCACCCTTTTTCTTTTTTTTTTTCTTTCTCTCCACCTGCCCTGCGAGGGCTCTCTGCTTCGGCCAGGGAGACACTATCGCAGTGTTCCCCGGCACTTGTTCACAAGAGAAGCACTATCGCAGCGCTTCTCTTGCGGCGAAGATGTCGAGCATCGCTGTCGCCTTGGAGTAGATGATGCCTGTGATTCCTGCGGGGCCCTGACAGGTGCACGGGAGTTTAGAGCTGGGGGGGCTTATGGTTCAGGCATTTAGAGACTTCACAGATCATCCAAGTGGAACATAAACCGAGGCTTTAACTATACTCCACGAAAGGCTTTCTTCAAAGACAAAAACAGAATGAAATGTAGTGTTGTTTGCCAGAAACTACTTCCCAAACACAAGCTTTAATCTTTTGCGGTTTCAATGACATGAAAGATGTTGACGAGCAACAAAGACATGTCCTGCAAGTTTTGGAAAGCACCCAAGAATCAGGTTTTGAACCGTGTGTCTTGCTTTTGGCACAACAACGCAAAATTCGCAAGCAAGTCGGGCTGTCATTTCTTTTTTGTACAATCCGCGATTTTTTGCTCGAATTTCGAAACGGTTTTTGCCCCCTGCCAGTTGGAACGAGTTTCTTCAACAATCAAGACCCCCCCAACAAATTTAGAAACACCTGGGTCATGGTCGTTTGCAGGTTTTGAACCAGTTTTGCTTTTGAAACCCCTGCGCCCGTTTTGGCTGTGTTAGCATGCAAAACTATGAAACATGACAGGTTTTTTCTTGGCACACAAGCTGCGCTTGATAGCTGATGATGCTGTGTGGGATATTTTTGTTGTCCTGTCCACGGCTTCCGGCAAGTTTATGGGTCTAGGCGATCTACAGCCACTCTCTCTCTCTCTGGATCTCGCTGCCTTTCTTTGTTTTTTGTCCATGGGATGTCATGCCTTCCCCAGCCACACCCAACCCCGAGGCACAAAGGCACACAGCTAAGCACCGGCAAGGCGAACTCAACAGGATTCGCCAGAGCGTAAGAGGACGAGAGGGCTCGTGGAGGTACTTGGCAGAGCAGGCACAAGGGCGATGGCGAACTGTCGTGACTCTGGCTGAATTACTAATATAATTTTAGCGATGTTCATCCACAGAAAAAATGTACGACTTTAGTCTGTCTGCCAAGTACCATGAGTCGAATTATGAGGTGCAAGAGATCGCCAACGAGGCACTTTTGCCAGAGAACCACCGCAGCATGGGCATCATTGACGCGTTGGCGGCTGGCAACTCCTTGTACTACTTCTCGCTGAAGCCAGACGACGCAGAACTGACTTGGCAAGACTTCCTCTACGAGCGGCTCTTCCGCTATGCGATCGCAATGATGAGATTCCACTGTCTCTTCGAGTCGCTTGTCGAACATGTGCAGCATTGATTGATTCTGGGCTAACCTTGATTGTGCGACCTGAAGATTTGGAAGCATGACCAGGCCATGTGTCGACAATGGTCACTGGAGAACAAGTAAATTTGGACACCAATCGTTGACGGACTTAGCTCAAGTTCCTCGAATGCTGCAGACTTCAGTCAGTCAGAGTCAGACTCACACTACTACTACAAATTTGGATATGATCCCATTAAATTAAAATTATTATGATGACTGAATGAAATAAACCGACCCCAGTCCCAGCTCCGGTAACCCTAACTTAACTATGCGCCCAGGCTTTCACATGGCTGCTTCCCGCTGGTTTTGGCAAGAGGCTGCGAGAGCGTCGAGGCGGCGGACAAGGTCCTGCAAGAGCTGAAAGTTTTTGCCGCAGCTGATGCGAAGGTGACCGAATTGATAAGAGAAAACCCTTGGTGCAAACTTGCAGCTACCAGATCTGCGATGCGCCTCCGATGGGTCTCTGACCTGGCAAGATTTGCGGCAAGAAACGATTGGAAAGCCACGCCAGAGCTGGTCCAGTATCTCAGAGATTGCTTCGGGTCCATGATCTTCACCTACAACGAGGAGGGCTTTGGCAAGATGAGGGAAGCCGAATCAGCAGAAGGCAAGATGCACGATTTCGCCCCGGCAGACTCCTGGTCGCAAGTTTGCACGTCGAAGGTGTTGCATTCTTTCGGTTACCCCGAGATCGAGACGAACGGGCAAACTGTGGCCGCGCAAGAGCCCATCCCCAAAGCAGTGCACCACACGCGCAAGATGGATGGGCACCCGAAGCTGCAAGAGGTCATGGGGAAAGCTTCTTGGCCAAACTTGAGCAGCATGGGTTACCACGCGACCTTCTTGGAGCAAATCCTCATGGTCAACACGCCCCCCGCCAGAATGAACACCTTGATGTCCTCCTGGAGAAGCGCCTTCATCACTGCTGGCCTGGTCGTCCGCAAGAAGACCGACACAGCGAAGGTTTGGCTCAGTCTCGGGCCCTGGCCGCAAAACACGGCTGTGGGATTACTGAGAATGGAAAGGTGCGAGCAAGAGTCCTTCGTCTTCTTGAAGCTGCAAGACCCGGTGGTGCTGCATTTCGAGGCAGTCATCAACTTCTCCGACTGGGTTGTGCTAGATGCAGTTCCAGCTGCCCCGCTTACTGTCGCGGTGACAAGAAGACACAAGGCGCCAAAAAAAAACCAAAGGCAGGAGAACTTTGTCGTACCACCCTTGCCTGGCTTGCTGTGGGAAAGAAGCAAGACATCGGTCTCATTGCTGCAGTTTTCCGCAAGAGAAGGATTCTTCAACGTCCCGGAGTCCATGCTGAAGCGCTCCTCAAGGAACTTCTGCTGGCACAGCTTCAGTTCACAAATTTGACTCCTTGAAGTCTTGAATTTCAGAGCGCTTCATTCTGTGAAATAGTTCTGTCAATGCAGCAACAGTGACGTTGACAGAACTGATATCGGTGTCATTGATCCTTCATGTCACAGGACGAGCACGGCGTCGTTGAAGAGGCTGATGACTTTGCAGGGCTTCTGCAAGAATCCATCCGACAAACTTTGGCCACCACGGAGGAGCTCGTGGCACAAGCCTTGGAGAGATCCATGTTCTGGCGGTGCCAGAATAATGCAGACTCTTTGGGGAACCTTTTGGGTAGCCTGGCCAAGCAAGGTTGACACTGAACCCAAAACCCCTTAACTTGTTAGATTAGATTCCACTTCCTCGTTCAGTTGTTGTCATTGTCTTTTGCTGCCTTCGTCAGTTATTGCTTGATTCATCAGATAATAAATCAAATTACAATTTAGATCTGAGGTGAAGAGGATCGCAAGTATGGCGATGGCGAAGAGGCGCAAGAGCTTGCAGAAGAAGCTGCGGAGAAAGATGAGGAGAACGCACCGGTGCTCAAACAGATCGCCAAAAGCATCAGGCGAATTCGCAAGAAAGCGGAAAAAGCCGAGCAGCCCTACGGCAAGAGGAAGCCCATCACCTTCCGTTCTTCTGACACCTGGGACGCAAGAAAGATGCAGCAGTTTCTGCCAGAGAACTACAAGTGCTATAAGGACATGTTCAACAAGTGTTTCCGAGTCTCTTGCCGCCGATCTCGCTGGTCGCAAAGCAGGAGCTGGGGAGGCAAGGGAGACGCTCACGCCGTCAGAT